GTTCCCGGGACGCGCTGGTGCGGAGCCGGGGACTCGGCTGACCACCCGTCCGAGCTGGGTAAGGGGGGCCGGGCCGGTTGGACTCGATTCTCGGCGTGCTCCGCGTCACGGGAAAGGAAACGGCCGTGCCTCGCCCTCGCTTGGAGCCAGCCCTCTTGCCAAGTCCCCCGAGGTGGTCCGGTTCTTGTGCCTTTAAACGTCGGGGTGCTTATCAGCTGAATCTTTTTGCACCGCCACACAGGGAAAAACGAGACAGAAGTGTGTAAGACCTTAGGAAGAGCTTCTTAGTATGAAGCAGAAGAGGGTCTGTGGAACTCCTTGCCACTAGATGCGGTGATGGGAGGGGGTGGTTTTGAGAAAGGAGCAGGTTGTGCTTCGTTAAAGATAAATGCGTCTGCCTGTCCCTTGTAATCCTGGAGGTGGGCTGCCTCCCCCTATGGAGTCGCCAGGACTGGCAGAGGAACAGAAGAAGTCCGGTCTGGATGATGAGTTTCCCAGCAGTTAGTTAATTGTTGTGCGGCTTTGGTGTGTCAGGTAATTTCACTGAGCCCGCAGGCCAGCATTCTAGCAACCATCTTCCGTGTGGAGAACAACATCACTGGTTCCCAGCTGCATCTTTCGCAAGACTTCTTTCCCTGTTTGAAAGAGCGCAGCATGCCTGTCCTCTGGAGGGGCCGCTGCGGAGACTGCTGTTGTTCCCATCCTCGGAACCCAAGCAGAGATGGAGTAGTAGCGATATCATTACTCTTCAGGCCTGCTGCAATTCATGGGCCGAAATAGCCAACCTGAGATATCTACTATTGTGCCAAGGAAGGATCAAATCCAAGGATGGAAGTTCAAATTATGTACAGGTAGTCCTTGAGTTACGATGGTAATTGGGACCGGAATTTCCATTGCTAAGTGATGCAGTCATGAAGCTCGATGTCATGTGATCGCATCGCTTAGCGACAGCTATCCAAGCACTCCCCGTTGCTGTCGTTATCCAAATTCCACCAGTCATTAGCTGAGGACCCACCCCAGTGGGCGGGTCATTCCGGGCTTCGTCCCTCCCAGCCCCAAGCCTTGGTTCTTTCAAGGTAAGGAACTGCCTCCCCTTCAACTGCCTGTTCCCCCCACCATCTCTGCCTTTTTGGCCACCCTGCACCCTGGGGGTGAGCAGCCCCAGACCTGTGTGGCTCTAGGGATGCTTGCCACGCTGCGGCTCAGGGGCTTCTTGGCACGCTGCAGCTCTGGGGCTGTAAGAAGCCCCTAAGCCGCATTGCAGCACGAAGTTGCAGCCCCCCCTGGAAGCCTCAGCCTCGCAGCCCAGCGGCACAGTGTGGTGAGAAGCCTCAGCTGCCCTGGGAAGCCTAGTCGCAGTTGCCCTCGCCACCCTGCACTCCCAAGGCCCTGCCACCCTGCACTCCACCACGCTAGCTGACCTTCGCCATCTTCTTGCTCCCGCTGCTGGCGAGGCATGTCCAGCCTGGCCCTTCATGAAGCAGCTGCTGGCCACTTGAGGCCATCTTCCCCAGGTCTCACAAGGAAACCGCCGGGCATGACCTGGGGAAGAAAGCCTTGTGAAGCCAGCAGCTGCCTCGCGAAGGGCCAGGCTGAGCACGCTTCATCAGCAGTGGGAGCAAGAAGACGGTGAAGGTCAGTTGAGGGTGGCAGGGGCCAGAGTGCAGGGGGCCAAAATGGCATAGTAGGCGGGTGGGGGAGTTGCAGCGCCCATGCAGTCATAAGTGCAGTGAGCTCCTAAGTCCCTGAATTTTGATCATGTGACTGCAAGGGCGCTGCAATTGCCATAACTTTGGGGACTGGTCATAAGTCCCTTCATTCACCATAACTTTGAACAGTTGCTGAACGAATGGTCATTAAGTGAGGACGACCTGTATATGTTCAAACAGTTGGATTCAAATCCTGTTAACAGGATTAATTTTTGAATCTAGGCAGGCCCAGTGGTAACACTAAAAATGGAATTTGCAAATCGGAGGAAAGTGATTAATTTTAATAATATGGTAAAGCACCCAAGTGCCTTTTTACCATTCTGACAAACTGATTTCAAAACTGTGAGGACTTGAAGTTTATTTGAGTTAACTGAAATTTACTGAAGTTTATTGAAGTTTAATTGAGGTCCAGGATTCCAGTAAGGTAGGATTGTCTTGGAGACTCATCCCCCTTATCAGCTTCGGCCTCTAGTGCACAAATTAGAGCCCATTGCACGCCAGCATGACTTTGCAAATGGGAGAAAGGAAGACTCAAAGCTGCAATTATCTGGAAGAAAATTATAGGTTTTGTTCGCACAACACACTTGACCGTATCCGATACAAGTTGTTCAGCTGCATTTATACCACCTGCAAAGCTTGGCAAGCTAGCCAAGTGCCTTTATCAGTTTGTCCCTGTGGCTTTGTGTGTTGTGGGAACACACTCAGTGTGTTGTGTATCACGCGCACGCACCTCTTGCCACTGTGGATTAATTCAGGAAGCAGGTTATGCGTATTACATGAACCCAGCCATTGAATACTGGGGGGAGGGAGGAGAGTTTTTTTGACAAAACTGCAGATGACAGTGTAAAATGGTGGGTCGCTAGCATAAGAGACCACTTGCTCATGGGGCTCTGCAAGAGGAGTCACCCATTTTCCCCAAGTCCTAAGGCTGAGAAACACCAGCTGGCTCTGGAACAACAGGAATGTTCTGATACGTGGTGATGGCTCTGCCTTGGAGCGGCCTGGGATTGGGACTCATGGGGCCAGCAGCTCAAGCCAAGTTTAAACTGGGCCTTGCAGTGAGTGTGCAACATTAGACTTCTATAATGCAAGGTTTATTGTATGAGTATCTACCTATCTCTGTGAGAATTACATGTGACTCCTCTAAGTATGAGAGAAGGTGGTTGCAGAAGAATTCACCATTTTGATCAGCCTCTTTGCCACTTGGGTCTCACTAGCTGGGTAGGGAGGACAGCTCCTACCCCCCCCCCCCCTGGCTGTGCTGGAGGGAATTCTGGGGGTTGGGGAGGAATCCCAGCATTTCTGGAGGCCCCAGTGTCATGAAGCCCATTTCGGTTTCTTCTGTGGCGCTCGCTGCCCCCTCCAGCCGTGCTCAGAGGCAGGCTCCAGGTGAGAGAGATGCTGGGGGCCCTTGGCCCTTCTAATCCTGGTTCCTTCTGTTGCAGGGGTTTTCCAGGGCCCAGACGTGTGCTGTCGTGAGCATGACCGGTGTGATGCTCACATCTCCCCTCTGGGATTCAAGTACGGCATCCGTAACTACCGCCTGCACACCATTTCTCACTGCGGCTGTGATAACAGGTGAGTACAGGGTCCTGTGAAGCTGGGGTTTGACCTAGCCTTGTCCAATCTGGTGCCCTCCCAATGTGTTGAATTTACATTCCCATCACCCTCCTGCATTGTTGGTCATGCTGGTAGAGGATGCTGGGAGGTGTAGTCCAAAAGACATGGAGACTGGAGATTGGGGAATGACCGCCTGAAGAGGAAACTGTCGAACTGTGAACAAACGTTCTTCCTCTGACTCTTTTAACAGGTTCAGAGATTGCTTGAGGAACCTCAATGACACCATCTCCAACTTCATTGGGACCAGCTTCTTCAACTTGCTGGAAGTCCCATGCTTCAACCTGGAAGAGAGCGAGGAGTGCCTTGAATGGCACTGGTGGGGCGGGTGAGTAAGCCAGCTCTGGGTTGTGTCTAAGTGAGGAAATACAATAGGGGCCAGTTGAGTTGTGCTCCTGGATGTCAGTTGATGGCCCTCAAAATGCAACATGGGCTCAACTCAGTTGGTTGCCAAGGTTGCAGAATACTTGTGCAACAGGAGAGGAACTTGCTTCCCACTCCAAGATAATTTGAAATTCTGGATTTGGTAATGGCCACCGAGTCTACCCACTGCTCATGGTAGGGATCCAAGTACCCCCCCAGTGATGGCTGAACAGCCTCTGCTGCATAAACCCCTCCCCGCTTTCCTCTAGATCATTGCTTCCGCTATCAAACTGCTCATACAATTAGGATCTTTTTTCCTAATATTTCATCCGAATGCTTTCCTATAACTTAAATCTGTTATTCTGTCTCCTATACTTTATGGTGGTAGAAAACAGGTCCTGGTTGACTTCCCTGTATTAAAGATACTTGAAAAATGCTATTTTACTCTCTCCACTCCTGTCATCTTTTGTCAAGGCTAAACCTACCCTGTTTCCTCAATTTCTCCTGGAAAGTCCTTGATGGTCCTCACTGCCTTTCTTTGCCCCTTTTTCCCAGCTTGTCTGAATGCCTCTTGAAAGATGGCACCCAGAACAGGACCCAGTATTCAAGCAGAGGCAGGCCAGTGTAGACCTGAACAGAAGTGGTGCTTCTCACAACTGGGAAATCTTGATGCACCCTAAAAATGTACTCACCTTTGTTGCTGCTGTGTCACACGGCTGACTCATATTCAGCTAGTTTTCCACTATGATCCAGCTAATATAGCTTAACCTGGGATTCTGAGAAGCTTTGATCCACTATGATTCTGAGAGCCTTTGCACATACGGTGCCCAAGGCAGGTGTTCCTCATCCTGTATCTGTGTATTGAATTTCTTTTCCCAAAATGAACTTAACCCAGTATTTCCCAACCTTCATGACATCTGGAAACATGGACTTCCCAGTTCCCAAATTTCCCAGCCAACATGGCCATTGCTAAGAATTCTGGAAGTCCATCTGCCTGCCCAAGTTGGAGAACACTGCTCTAATCAGGTTTGTCCTGTATTTTGTTTTTTCCTCAAAAGGTACTAGCTGTCCCACCCAATTCTGTGGTGACTGCAAAGTTCCTGTTTTCTCCATCTCATGCAGGCCATTAATTCAGGTGATATAGCTGATTTTTTCCGGGAGGTTTTAGGCTGAAAAGATACATTAGGAAACACCTTTTCAAGGGCCTGTTAAATCTTGCTGAAAGGACAATGGAGCTGAGTTTGCACAACACACAGTTGCAAACTGCACACCCACAGTATAGTCCAGTGTTTTGTGGAACCCTGCCACTGATTAATTTATGGCTCCGTGCATTGTGCCAACCCAGGACAATGGGGGAATTGCACAAGCCATGGTAAGCGCGTGGTGCAAATGCAGAGACTGAACATAGCACTTTTCCTCTTCTGTCCTACGCTAGGTGTAAGAGGTACGGCCCAATGCCGCTGGCTCACTTGGTGGATCCAAGCCCATATCACCCCATTGAGAACCCCAACACTAGCACATCTCCCCAGCCTGGAAAGCATCGAGGTAGGGAGCAGAAGCCCAGGTGGAAGGGCAGAAAGGGGCGGAGGAAGCAGGCCAAGGAGACAAAGGAATGGCCGCCCAAGGCTCAGGATCCCATTGCCCCACTGACCCCGGTCTCCAAGCCTGGTCAAGCCACACCCATCCCAGGAACAAGCAGCTCAGGTGAGCGAACCACGCCATGGTCACCTGCCCTCAGAGCTACGTTGGAGCCTGGTCCTCTGAAGATGGATGGCGAGGTTCTTGCTACGCTCCACCCTGTCGTCCTTCCCGTGGAGGAAGGCTTGTCCAACGAGACTTGGCAGGGAGCAAAGCCCTTCTCTGGCCCTGCAGAACATGGTCATGCTTCCAAGCCAAGATCAGGTGAGTGAACCTGCGTGTTCCTTCTGGGGGCACTCAAATGTGGGAGGAATTATGAATGGGGTGGAAGGAACAGGTAAAAATACTTGCTTGTTCTCTCAGATTGACAAGAGGGGCCTTCCAAAGCTTTTGCCAAAGAGAAACCTGTTTGGGTTTCTGAACCTGATGGTTTGGCCTCCACCTTGGGAACCAGCGTAGATGTTTAGCGTTAGACTAGCACCTGGGAAATCTGGGTTCAAATCCACCCTCTGCTGTGGGAGCTCTGGAGGTGATTTTGGCCCGGACCAGCCTATCCCAAAGGGTTATTGTATTGGAAGAAAAGTGCTGGAAGGTGGTGCCCCATGTATGCCATCTTGAGCTCCTGGAGAAGCAGGATATACATCTAAGAAACACAAATTAGTATCTTTCACTGTCCCTGAAAAGCTTCCCTCGGCCTGCCAACTGGCAATGCCAAGAACTGCAACTCCCGGGGAACCAAAGCTCAGCCTGAAATTTGGTGAGAAGGTCCCAGACTTCAAAGGCAATAAAATGGGATTGGAAGAAAGGGAGTTGATATTCCCAATGGCCAAATCAGAGGTCCGAACAGCAGGCAGTGGGGCGCAAACAGGGGGTGGAGTTGCATTCCTGATTCCCTGCTCCTGACCTCCCAGGCAGCCCCTCCCTGGCCATGGTGGGAAGACTTGATGTGGGGCTCCGTGGGCAACCTGCGCCTTGACTCCTCGATTGAACTGCTGCCTGTTTCTTTCTCCAGCCCTATCACGGAGATGCCGCTGCTACCAACGGCTGGATCAGTGCCCCTTCAAAATTGCCCCCAGTGAGTTCAAGTACCAGCTCCACAATTCAGATGACCGCACCCTCTTCCACTGTAACTGCACCCGTCGGTAAGCATTGCCCCTCCCCAGGCCTCACGTGGCACCAACCACTGGGTCTGAGTGGCAAGAACGGGGGCTGGGGAGTGAGAAGGGAGGACCACAATTCACACCAGGAATCAGAGAACTGGGGCAGGGCTATAGGGAGCTTCGCAGGCAATCTGCTGCCACCGCCTGCTCCATGCAAGAGATGAGGAACTGGAGCATCTCCCGTACTGTAGCTCCGTTTGATTTTAAGATCTGCATGGAGAGCGCATCCCTCCCCAGAGGCGTTGGGGCTGTAACTCCAAGCATGTAACCCCAGCATGGAAAATGTGGTGCTGTTTTCATCCAAGACACTTAATCCCAAAACAGTTAACAGAGTTGTTCTGTTCACACCCCAAATACAACCACATTTCCTGGTTTCATAGGATGCCATAATTCACGCAGATGAAGTTGGGTTCCTGGAATACATTGCGAAATTCCCAACCCCACTTGAACCTGATCCAGCACATTGTGCAAATTCAACCTGGGAGTTGTCGTTCTGCCCACTTGGGGGGGGGGCACCAGGCTAAGGAGGTTTGGTAGGGGGCTTTCCCTGCCCTGCCTGGAGAGGCTGAAGAAGGATCAAGGGTTTTCTTGGCCTCCTCTGCTGGACTGTGGTCTTCTCCTTGGCCGTGTTCCAGAAGCTCAGTGCGGCAGACGATGTGAGGCGAGTTGGATTCCTCAGCCCCTTTCTCCCCACAGGCTGGCCCGGTTCCTGCGCAGGAGGAAGGGTCCCAACGAGGTGGAGGAGGAAGTCCTGTCTCACTACATCTCCCCCTCCTGTTTTGTTCTGGAAACCCTCCCAGGTTGTATGACGGGAGAGGAAGGCTGGCCCAAGTGAGTGGAGCCGCTCGGTGCTTGTCCAGGAGAGGGGAGGGGAGGCTGCTTGCCTGCGCATGACACGCTCCTGTCGCTTCTGCACATGCTCCGTCCCGACTCCTTCGCCTTGCAGCCGATATGTAGGGGCTGATCAGGGCTGATCTTTGACCTTTTCTAATCCTGTGGTTTACGGCAGCCCAATATCAGGATGTGTCCAGCGGCACCTTTTCTCAGAGTTGTTTTCTAAAATGTTCTAAATCTAAATTTTCTAATTTGTTGAAAGGCATAAGCTGCCGCTTACAAAAGCTTATGCCTTTCAGTAACTTTTGTCAGTAAATCAAACTCCTGATTTCTGATGCTGTGCTGGGTTTTGTTTCGGCTTGCCAAGGTGAGAATCAGCAGCTTGGATGTTGCTTTGTTGTAATGCAATCAACAGCAACCAAGTCTGTGGCCTTCCTGGGGGACTGAGAAAATTTGCCAGGCAAAATGTTTCTGTGGCTGAACGAAATTCTGCTTTGACCCGGGAGCTGAAGGGGACTGATGGCAAGGAGGGTCCCAGTATCTTGCTGGGGACACGATGCTGTTAGCAGAAATGCAGGTGTACGGAGCGCATGGGTCCTTGCGCACGGAAAGCTCCCTTTCCCTGAGGACAGCCTATGTGCCCCAGCTGCCGAGGTTTGGTGGTGGAAGAGCCGAGCTTTGCCTGTGCAGGTTCAGACGGCTCTCCTGGAACCCTCCAGAACATCTGGAGGAGTCGCAGCCCAGCCTTGCGCTCACTTGCCCGCCTGCTGGGGCTGCTCCTTTTCGGAAATGCACCACCAAACTGCCAGCTCTCGCTTCGTGCTCCTGCCCCAGGAAAGGCTGACCCCACCTTTCTGTCTCTTCCTCCTGCAGCTGCATCGGCATTGGCAAAGCCATCCTGGCTCCGGCTCGTCACCTCACCAACCGGTTGGGTGGCAAACAGGCGGGAGCCTCTTTCAAAGTGAAGCGCCAAGAACGGGCATCCCTTGGGGGAGCCACCCAGCTGTTTGACAAGTGTGTGCGGCTGGTGCGAGCCACCCTCTCCCCGGTGCCACCCTGAGCAAGGGCAGCCTTTGCCCCCGCGCGCACGAGAGAGGGCCGAGCCCGGGAAGAGCACGCAGCGAAGCTGGGCCGTCCCGTATGGGGGGAGCCTCTTCCCTGCCTTTTGAGCAGGTGCACAGCGTGGAAGACACAACTGCTGGTACGAACAGGAAGAGGACATCCTCCGGAGACCCTCCGTTCTGCAAGGCCGGCCAGCCACCGTCTGCTGCAAGGAGCTTAGTGTCAGCACACACTGGACTCGCAAACTCTGGGCGACTGGTGCTTTGAAGCTGGATGGGGCCGAGCCCAGAGCAAAGGGGTGGGGAGAGGTGGGGCAGCCGTTCCAGGCCTCGCCTCTCCAAGCGCTTGTCCTGAGAACCCCCTCTTGCGGCTGGAGGCAGGGCTCGTCCTTTGCCCCCCGCCCCCCATGCACCTGTGCCCTCCTTGCAAGGAGGGCGGGGGAAGCCTGTAATTTATTAGGGGAGGGAAAGTACTGTGGGGCTATGAATAAATGTTTTCCAACCGTGACTTGAGCTCTCCTTGGTTTGGGGAAGCAAGGAAACGGGGGACTACCAGAGCTGAAGAGGAGCGTCACCTCTTCTCGGCCACCCGCCGGCCCGTCCTGCCAGGGGAGACCACAGGATGCCTCGTGGAGGGTTGGTAGGTGATTTATTGGAAGGGGTTGGGCAGCACAAGCGGTAGGACAGATTGTGTCAAAACTGAACTCGTCCCAGCGAAGGTCCCTGATCTGTCGGGGGAGAGACCGGCCCCCCCCAGCCCCCTAGCCAGACCTCTCCATTCCCGATTCCAAGGCACCCTCCGCCGTCAGTCTTTGCCTGCAGCTCTGCCACAGCTGCAGAAGGGTTGGGCTCGGCTGCTGCCGCCTGGTCTTCGTCACTATGGGCCCGACTGGGCCCTTGCACTGATCCCCACGCTTACGACGTGGGGCTCTGGAAATGGCCTTTCTCCCCCTCCCCGACTGCTCACCCCATCCTCGAGCAGGGGGCTTCTGAGCTCATCAGCTGACCACCAGGTGAGCTTCCAGCTGCTCCGGGTGAGGGGGACAGAGGGGCTTCCTTTCTCCCTGGCTTCTGGCCTTCCGATGGCTCTGCAAGGAGAAGCGGTGCCTTTCCTTGGGCAGGCCAGGAGGGGTGCCAGAAAGGTGTGGGAGGGGGATACGGCTCTGGGTCCCGACCAGGGCATTCGGTGGGAGAAAGGGCTCTCCTCGAAGGAGGATGAGGGGCGACCAGCACAAGTGCTCTGTGGCCGGCTGAGAGGGTCAGGCCTTCGGTTGACGACACGGATGTGGGGTGATTGTCAAGCTGATGGGATGGGGTGAAACCACAGCAGCGCCTTGCCCGGGTCTGTGCCCCATCAAGAGAGGCGCATTGACAGAGAGCAAGGCAGGCACAGATACGGGTGGGCAGAGGGTGTCGGCACGCCACACGCACACTACACAAGATGGTTGCCGAGTGGCTCGGCCCCCTTAGTGTCTGGTCTCACAGCTGTGGCTGTGGGGATCGTGGGGTCCCCCCTCTTGTGGGGAAGTACTGAAGAGGGCCGCGAGCCCCGCCGTGGGGCTGGTGGGGCTCATCCTCCGCCCGGGCAAGCTCGGGTCGGAGCTCTCACGCCGGGACCCCATGGCTCGATCGACCGTCTCCAAGCGCACGGCGGGCAGCAGGCCCAGGTTCCGCGGATCGGCCCGGGCCAGCGGATTCTCATCGAAGCGCCAGCCCGTCCGGGCCGGGGGGGCGGCGGAGGCGGAGGAGGAGGAGGAGGAGCAGGAGGCGGCGGAGGAGGAGGAGGAGGCGGCCTCTGCGTTCTGCGCCATCTCCCGCGACTTGGAGCGATGCCGTGGGCTGTCCTTGGAAAAGTGGATGCTGGGAATGTCGGCCTTCAGGATGCTGCTGTGGCGGCGGCCCTGGGGCGAGGGGCTGCGGCTGGCCCCTTGGTCTCGGCTCGAGGATCGCAAGAGCAGTCCCTGGAACTTGGCCAGGCTGGGGCTGCGGCTCCGGTGGCCGTGCATCTTCCCAGGGCTGGGGCTGCGGGACTTGGGGCCGAGGAGCACCAGCGTGCTGTCGTCGTCCTCCTCGGAGGTGCTGTTCGTGCTGTCTGTGGGGCTGCTGATCTGCTCCATGGTGGGCAAGGAAATCTGGACCAGGGAAATGGGGAAAAGGGAAGGTCAACGCTCCTCGAATCACAAGCACTGTCCGTGCGTCCCCCTGAACCTGGACTATCAGAATCGAATTCCTGGGTTCACGCGACATGCAATACCCAGACCCAGAAGCCCTTCGGATGATGCCTGATTCACCCAACGTGCAAAGACAGCAGCTGGGTTTCCAGAACACGCTGAACCATACGCCACCCAGCGTAGTATGTTGTGGAAGCCCAGCCGAACAACGCTGCACACAGCTGGGGAGTCCTCACGACCAGCTCTCCGTCTCTTCCCAGACAGCGGTCTCTGGACTGGCACACCTTTCCACACTAATGACTGTGGCGGTTGCAGCTACTGAACTAAATGTCTGGAGATCTCATATGCTGTTGGGCCTCACAGCTGGGGCTTCAAAAATGAAAGCGATAGAAAAGAATAAAGATCAGTTCCGTGGGCATCTGCCCTATAGCCAAGTGAAGGTAACCGGCAGGACTTGATTTCCAGACACTTTTTTTAAAAAACTAGGCAGAGGGAAGGGGGGGAAAATGCTTTAATTATTCCTTCCTGGCAAAAAACAGGCCAGCAGCAGCAGGCTGGATTGGCTGACCTGTTTTTTGCCAGCAAGCAAGGGTCAAGAGGCGCTTTCACAGCATCTGAGCATGTGCAGTGATGTCAAGAGGCAAGTCCTGCCCTGCGGTGGCATCACAGTACAGAAGAGGCCTGCACAAGGATGCCATAATTTGTCACACTTGGTTGGTGATATCCCCAATCAGTTCGCTGGTTCGCTAGTGAGCAGCAGCAAAGTGAGAAGAAGGGGATTCTTGTTCCATCCTCCTCCGACCCAGGGTGACCTTTCAGATAAGCGGACCCCACTCCCAGAATTCTCAGCAAAGGTCAAGTTGATTGGGGACTTCTGGGAGCTGAAATCCAAACACCTCAAGGGCAGCCTGGTTGGGGAAAGCTGCCCCAACTCTACAACAGTTCCCATTACTGGAAGTGTCTCAGGAGGATGCAAAGCGATGCAGACTTCCACAGTGTGAGCCATGTTGCTTCCGTGGTGCAAAAGGCCTCTCGGAAGTCGCCTCTCGGTGCACTAGCCGTGCTCCTCAGGGGCAGAGAGAAGCGGGCCCCGCAGTGGCTCTGGGAGCCAGTGGCTTCCTACCCTGTGTCCTTCTGCTTGCTCACCTGGAAGGGATCCGTCACACCCACCATACAGCTGCAGTTGTTGCTGTAGTAGCCAAGGATGTAGTCCCCCTTCCCTTTGGGCAGGGATTCCTCCGGAAACATTAGCTAGAGTTGGAAGAGAGAAAGGGAGGGAGGAGAAGACAGCCACAGCAGAAGATGACCGACCGACCGACCGACCGGCACTGGACTTATGATTCAGCTCTACCTTTCAGTTTGGGGCGTTCTGTCTGGGCCAGCCTACAACTACCATCGTTCCCTAGTAAGCAGAGCGTGAGGCTGAGAGATGAGGAGGCTTGTAGTCCCACACCCCTGGAGGTCAGCAGGCAGGGAAGCATTGGTGGCCATGGCTGGTAGGGATGAGGGGAGATAGCATCCATAAATCTGCACCAAGCAGGGGGTTGGACCAAGCTCCACGATTCTAAGATGCCAGGGTGGGAAATGCCAAGGAGAAGCAGCAAGCAAGCAGCAAATACCTGTTAACTCCACAGCTGGGTTGACTTAATGCATTTGAACCTGATCAGTTACATAACTCTATTCGTACATCTTGAACATGGTTGGTTTTAACTAGGGTTAGGTTCTTGGAGTGTGTGGTTTAGCAAGGGGTGTAAACCTAGCTCCTTTGGCTAGTTTATGGTTCATCATTTGGTACAAACCCAGAAAATAGGCCAGTTTAGTAGCCACCCCAGGTGATGTATTTATTCCCTTCCTTCTGATCCCACCTTCCCTTTAATGCAGGGTGCCAGGGGTCATTTTGTCCTCATAACGCCAACCCTGTGAGGCGGAGTGGACTGAGAAAAGATGAGTGGCTCAAAGTCACTCAGTGAGCTCAGGGTCAAGTGAAGGCTCAGACCTGGGTTTCCCCAGCATCAGACCCCAAGACTTGCATTTAAGCCACCAAGTTCCCTGGATGAGGATGTGCTCCCATTGTGTGAATATAACCAACCCGGGCTATACAACCAGATACCCCGGATGTCACCTCTTTCTGAGATCACACGTCTTGGGCGGCAGAGAGAAAGCTCCGTTTGTTCACCTCCTCTTTGCTCTCAATTACCTGGTAAAGGTGGCTCTCAGTATCTTCCTGCTTGGCCCATACATAGGCTATGTAGTCCTTCCAGTGTCGGAAACCCACCTGAAGGGGAGAGAAATCACAAGAGGTTTCCTCAAGGCCTCCCTGTTGCAGCTGAGATACCCCAATAATTCTGCTTCTCTATCCACTGCTGTGAATTTGGGGTTTCAATCATCTGTTCACTTTGCACAGGGGTGCACAATTCTTTCTGACCCTCTTGGGCTTCTGCTGGGGCTCCAGATTCCGAAAAGAAGCAGGCAGGGCTTTGGCAAGAACATAACATGGATTTCAGTTTGCTTACATTGAAACTGAATTACAATTAAATCTTGTTAATACACTGATGCTCTTGGCTGTGTGTTGCATGTTGTCCTGCCTGTTCCAGTAAGCTCTCCCCACGTAGCTCCTTGGCATGATGCAGAAGTGGGCATCACCTTCCTCTTCTCTCAGCAGAGGGCAGCACTGGCCTGGCCTAGTCTTGGCCGGGCTGCAAAGCAAGGTCAGGCCTGGTTAGTGCTTGGACCGGAGACCGTTTGGGAATCCCACCGTCTGTGGAGTAGAGGAAGGGTGGCAAGCAATGGCTTCTGTCTTGCCGCCAAGAAAGCTGCAGGGGTGTCTCGACCCAGCCAAACAGGGTTTCGTTTTCATTTTGTTTTTTGCAGCGGAGGCTGGTGGCAATAAAGAAAATTCAGACAGAGCTCTGCAGTCAATGCTGCCACTGTCATGGGGAGGGGGAGAGTACCAGCTCCTACAGGGATTAAATATGGCACCACCACCCTGCCAGAGATTCATTCATCGACTGTAGTTTGCTCTTTCTCCTATCCATACAAATGCTTTAGAAGGTATGAACTTTCTAAATAAGCAGTGTTGCTTATTAAGTGAACTACGTCCCCCCTTTCCATATAGAAGATCCCCGGTTCAATCCCAAGATCTCCAGATAAGCCCAAGAAGGAGCAGTACTTGAAATCCAGCCCCAGCTCTGATCACTGCGACGCAAGAAGGATGCAGAGGAGCTGGGAAGGGGGCAGAGGGTGGTGAGGGGCTCAGAGGCCAAGTCCTAGGAAGGACAGCTGAAAGAACTGGGTGGGCTTGGCCCAAGAAGAGAAGGCTGGGGGGAGACACGAGCGCAGACCCCCAAGACCTGAAGGGCTGCCACAGGGCAGAGGGTGTGGATCCAAGGCTAAGACAAGAACCAACCAGCAGAAGCTTTGCAGAGGGAGACCCAGACTCGAAATCAGGAGGAGCTGCCTGACCGGGAGCGCTACGAAGCAGGGGAACAGCTGCCTCCTGGAGTGGTGGGGCCTC